CAACTAGAAGAAGATGATGCTACCTGCATTTGAATAAACATAGATTGTGCATGAAAAAAATAAAGTATCCCTTGAAAATAAGCCCTAATGCATTTTTGGAGCAAAAAATAATATAAGACCCTGTCTTATTTTTGGGGAAACAGGGTATGTAAAACCATAGAATTCAAAGAGGGTGTACTTTCTTTTTCACACAACTGTACCAAATGAACCTCACAGTGTTCTGCAAGTAGGGATTTGAACCCAGATCTCCCTGGTGCTAGTCTGATACTCTAGCTGCTATATTTCTGTCTACCCTCTTGTGAACTGTTGAAAAATGCAAAGCAATTATTCAATAAACCTAAACAGTTTGGTATATTAAGTCCTACAGTATGTCTTGCTTTGGGAATTTTTCAAATTTGAAACTTTCTGGAAAATATACATCACTTATTTCAGCAGGCATTTTGTTATTGCCGTTGGGTGTCTACTGCAAGAATATTTATATGATGTACTTTTGATTGCTCAAGCATCCACCAGTGCCTCCTAAACCACCTTCTACCCACCTATGAATTGCTAATTGGACACAGATCAAATACTTCATAAGGTACATACTGGTACACATCTTGGCTACCTCTGCATGCAATGTACCCTCTAATTTTCAGCTTCTCTGGGCAGGGCTATGCCTCATGTGAGACTTTGCTCCTGTGTGCATGCACAACTCTGCTGCCGCCGCCCCCTGCAGGCACCAGTTCCGTCCCGACTCGAACCAAAGGGGTTGAACTCAATCGTTGCGCAGAGGAGGAAGAAAGTTGTGTGGAGGGAGGCAGAGTCGCACACATGGCTTAGCGGGAACCTTTGCTACATGTCATGAAAATGAATAACTATGTGAGCAAAATGGGACTTGGTAACTGCTCATAATGAATGCTGCTGTAATTCAAGAATGGACAGAGTATGTGGCAAGAAACTGAGAGGCAGGAGAATGTGGGACTAGGCGGGCATATGGGGGGAAATGGTTTCTAGATGTAATGTTCAGCTTTTGCGCAACAAGAAAGGTTGGAAACCACCTGCATCTTCTTTCATGAAGATGTCCAGCTAGGTTGTCCAGCTACGCTTGTTTGGTGCTGACTATAAGTGGTATCACCTGAATATTGGGAGAGGATGAGAAACTGCATCTGTCTTCCAGATATTTCAGGAGACAACAAAGCCTGATTGGTTATTAAGCATGGAACCGTAATATCTTTGTCATAGTTTCAGTAAGTGATTCTATTTAAGCAAAATAAACTTTGAAGCTGCATCTTCAGCAGCAACATGTCATGCGTCAGTACTTTTGCTATCTTCTGGTTATGGCACTTTGGTTTTGACAACTGAGAACGTAACATGAACTGAAAGTCCTACTAAATTGCATAAAACAAACAGAGATGTTCTATTGGAAGACGATCAGGTTCAATTGCGCTGCTATCTGGATTGTTACAGCAAGAAGTTTGTTTGAACTTGGGGGATAGGAGTGGACCTGAATCGTTAATTAGTAATTTTGTTCTTGATGCAACTGGAATAAAATGAATTTCTGTAACAATCTGATGCAAACTCTTGTGTTGGTCAAGGTATAGTTTACTTCAGATCACAAAGTGTATATTTAAGACTCTTTCCATGAAGTCAGTGTGATTTGTCCAATTAACTCTGACTAAATTATCTCTTCTACTTTTTGCCAGGGCAACTTCATATATTACATTTGTACCTCTAAACAAAATGCACTAAATCTAATTGTTAGTTCCAGGTAGTTGTCTCATGGAATGAATGGATCTGGTTAACTCAACATTATTTATGCCCATTGATTCATTAGATCTGCTCTAGTTAAGACTCATACTTAGATCTAGCTCAATGTGACAAAGAAACTTTATCTTGCTGGCACAGCATTCAGCCTGCAACTGCAATGAAGACTAAACCCATTATTCCATCACTATGGAGAAACAGTGTGCTAGCGGAGTTCTGTTATTTTCTTCTGTTGCACAATTGATAGCATGGTTGGTCTTGTGGTCCCTGGGCACTCTGCTAGTTGTGCAGCTGGCTATTGCATTTGATTACTCCTTAATTCCTATTCCGAATCACAGATCTCTTAGGAGTAATGCTTTTTATGTTGGTAAAATGACACCATTGGGTACTAAAAGAATTTCCCATTGATGTCTGTTGGTCTTCTACAAATCTGGATTCAACCCTCTGGATATAATTTTTCCTCTGTGACTAGTAGAGTAGCAGGATGGAATCCTGTAATTCTGTAAGGCACCACAGTTGTGAATATGTGAAAGGTACATATTCTACTCATGTTTTTATCTGCGGTTTTTGCAGTTTGATCCAATCTCTATGTGGGTAGCCTGAATACATTTGTAGGCTCTTGGGCCAATGTATATAATAGACAACATGTTCCCATGATAGGCAGAATTCTCAAAGTACAATGAAGGTCAAGAACAATGAGTTTAGGCAAAGTAAGCAAGTTATACTGGTTAATTAAAGACTTAGTATACAGGCATTAAGTGGTTGTTGAGGAGGGTGATTTTTAGGACAGTGGTCTGTATTTTTTCTTAAATAAAAGAATGATGGTTGTTGAGGGGTTTTTTGGGCTCTTTGGCCGTGTTCTGAAGGTTGTTCTTCCTAACGTTTCACCAGTCTCTGTGGCCGGCATCTTCAGAGAACAAGAGTAGCACTCGGTGCTCTGGTGCAGTTTGGGAGTTGAGTATTTATAGCTGTGGGATCAGCTTTTGTCCTTTTCAGGACATGGGTGATTAGTGTGTTTTTGTTGTGGGTGTATTATTGTGATAAGGAGGAGAGATGATTTGTCACTGTGATTGCTGGGTGTTGTTAGCTGGTCTTTTGTGTGTAGTGATCACCGGTCCTTGTGGCTGGGTAGAGTTCGTTGACCTTTTGCAGGCTGTATTTTTCAATGCTGGGAGCCAAGCTTTGTTGAGTTTTAAACTTTCTTCTTTTTTGTTGAAGCTCCGCTGGGGTTTGTGGGTTTCAGTGGCTTCCCTGTGCAGTGTAACGTAATGATGCTTTATTCATAACCAATTTCAGCAAAGTCTAAAAAGGTTATTTTTTTTTTTTACTATAATTTCTAAAATCCTTTAGCCAGCAAAGATTATGGTGGCTGGGAGATTCTAGGTTGATTTTTTATTTTTCGTTCCAAACATTAACATTTCCAGCCTTTGTGTTTTAGTCCTCAGGCAGAAATTCCCAAACTCTGTACAGTGATGCTATGCGAATACAGTTAATGCTTGTGCACCAGAGGCTGGATAATTCACCGCTCTGGTTTTAATCCTATTTTAGGCATCTGGTTTTTAAGATGGTTAATATTTCATTAATTCTTTATTAATTATTACATTCACATCTCACCCTCCTTCCAAGCAACTCAGGGCAATATACACAATTCCCTCAACCCTCCCCTCCAAGAAACTTCTATCCTCACAGCTACAAACTAGACTAGAATGAAAAGGCATGACTGGTCCAGGGTCACCCAGTACTTTGTGGCTGAGTGGACTCTGGTCTTGGCCTTCCTTTATCCCATTTGTCAGGTGTTTGCATCAAGTGCACTGCAGAAGGCGTTCAGTCCTTCCACCCATTTTCATGGGTTGCTCCTACTCCAGAGGTGCAGCACAGTTAATTCCCTTCAGAGACCTGTCCCAAACAGTGATTCACTGAAGAAAAGGGGCAGAGGGTGTCTTCAGAGGCAGGTTGTTTTTAGAACTGCACACATCAGAAATAGACTGCCTTGGGTGTACAAGGGGTGCTGGATAACTCTAGAAAAGGGAACTTGGACTCAACTTGATAGCACACAATCCATGCATACACACATATATACATATAGAATAAACAGCGCATGCTTGCTTGCCTCTAACACAGTGCTTTGACACTGTCATGAAGGAACAGGATGGGGACTTGCTAATGTGTGAAGTTCCCTAGAAGACCAAAGTCAGCAGATGTACTATTCTAGACAAAAATTACAGAGAAGAAAAATCTTTTTTTATTAGTCTGATGTAGGGGTGGAAATCATGTCAGCCATATTTACTCCTCAAAGCCATTTTGTGCCCCTATGAAACTTGCATCGCTGAATTTCAGCAGCACGCAAAATGCTTCCCTTGGGGCGTGTTCTGTTTGTCACTGAATTTGGGTACACTGGGGGTACCAGATTGGGCCCAGACTCATCAAAGTTGCCCATCCTTGTGAAGCCTCTGTCCAAGTTCCTGCAAGTTGACAGTGATCTCTAGTGCTCTGTCTTGTGTGGGAATACAGTGGTGCCTCGCTTAACGAGTGCCTCGCTGAGCGATGAAATCGCTTAACGAGGCACTCTGGGCCATCGCTGGAGCATTCGCTCAGCGATGGCCCCTATGGGGTTTTTTCGCTTAACGAGGGCACGAAAATGGCGGCGCTATGAAGAAACATCGCTGAACGGTGAGTTTTCAAGCCATAGGAACGCATTGAACGAAGTTCAATGCGTTTCTATGGCTTTTTTTATTTTGCTTAGCGATGTTTCGCTATAGCGAAGGTTAATCTGGAACGGATTAACCTCGCTATGCGAGGCACCACTGTATATTCTCTTCACTTCAAGAGTAAAGTACTTTTCTCCTATATTCCTGCAGAGAGCAACTGGATTAGCAAAAACTTGGGAGAAGTCAGTAATTACTAATACACCTGTTGAGACATCTATGCAAGCAGTGGTAATAGCGCAGTCAGTTTGCATCCTTTGGTGGGTAATCATTCCACAGCTGGTACTGAAATAGGTCATGCAACAGATACTCTGGTAAAAGGTGCAGACTGTTTGCCTGATGACCATTCCATGTACCTATATGTCAACAGAATTCTGGCCCTTGCTGTTACGACAGTGGGATTTCTGCTAGCTCTTAGTGCCAGGTACCATTCATTTCATTGTGTCTACTCAAGATAGATCAGTGCTGGATTTAGCCCACTGTTAGAATGGCCTACTTTAGAAGCATATACTGAAGATTCTCATTGTCATGTCTCCATATTTCTTTCAGCGTAGAGATCGGTGAAAGCGTAAGAGGGGAAGATGTATACATTATCCAGAGTGGTTGCGGAGAAATAAATGACAACTTGATGGAGCTTCTCATCATGATCAATGCTTGCAAGATCGCATCATCCTCCCGAGTTACTGCAGTAATTCCATGTTTTCCTTACGCTAGGCAAGATAAGAAGGACAAGGTAGGTGAAGAGTGGTTATTTTATGAAGCTGTTCACCATCACAGAATAGTCCCCTCCCCATGCCTTTTGACAAAAATGAAACAAGTTTGGACTATCATGAAAATACTAGAGCTGTTAAAGCTTCATTCTTAAGAATTCCTACTTAGAAGTAAGTATCCCTGAAAAAAAATGTATAGCCTCCACCTCACCATAAATGGTGTGTTCTTTTTGTGCCAGGTTACATCTTCAGTTCAACCATACGCAGCTGCCTGAATCCTTGGTTGATGGGCTGGAGTCTATTCCTACTTAGAAGTAAGTATCCCTGAAATAAATGTATAGCTTCCACCTCACCATAAATGGTGTGGTGTTTTTTTTTTGGTGCCAGATTACATCTTCAGTTCAACCACACGCAGCTGCCTGAATCCTTGGGTGATGGGCTGTAGTCCCTGCTCCTTATTGCACAAAGAACAGAACTGGAGACTTGATTAGCAAGTTGATAGGCCTTGATTCCAAAGAGTTCTTACCAGGCAACATTTTTATGATTAATAAATGTTGACCCTTCATTTCCGTGATTTTTGCTTGAGTCCTGCAGCCTCAAGCTTTGAAAATAGATCTCTCCCCACTCCTCCTTCTGTAAGCTGAATTCTGTGGTACCTGGGAACAATATGCCCAGCACAGGCTGACTGCTGCGTAAGTGTGCCCTTGCACTTTGCAGCATTTTCCATGTGGTGAGGAGATGAGCATGATCTTAAGTGTTCCTGTCAAACTAGGACCTGTTTAACATCTGGTGCACAAGCACCTGTGAAATATGCTGTCATTTTGAGCAACATTGAAGTGTAGAAATAACTGTTGCCTCTCTGACCTCTCCGGTCTCTGCCCTGTATGGCTCAACCAAAGATGATCCATGCAGGACTTTCTTGACACAGAAGAATATCTGCGCTGTTAAATGGGAGCATACAGGCTCTTGCCCTGAGTACAGACAATCGAGGTGATTGTTGGTGTGAGCATAGGCAGTTCAAAGCATGGCAGAGGATGGGATCCCTGTATCAGCCACCAGAGGGGAAAGAGCAAAAGGCTCAGAGGTGGTACTCAAACACTGGCTGAAGTAGAAAGCCTTGGAGTGCAGTTCCCAGGACACCAGAGCCAGCCTGTAACTGGCCAAACTGGTTCTGGGATACTGAGAGTTACAGTCCAAGAAAGGCACTGTTTCCCATTTTTGCTCTTTGAGCTGCAGGTTTTTTTGTCAACTTCTAGAAGTTTATTTAGCATTGAGGAAGGGTTGATTTCCTCTCAAGGAGAAGGGAGGAACTCAACCATTAAATCCATTTTATTAAAGACCTCTTTGCAGGTAAATGAACTAGAGTGCTAGAAGCACAGGAAGCCAAGCAATTTATGGCACTGCATTCCTGCTATACTGGTTCTCTCAGTTGGTTATTTTTTTATTTTACATTGGTACTCGCTGTGCAATCTCTGGTAGCTCCCTGGGGTGATAGGTTGTCCCTGAGGAATAATCAGATGCCATCTGAAATGCAGGGATGAAACTTCCTCTCCCTACCACATAGCCCTGGGGCTCTACATTGCATGACTTACTGTTTGGCATTATTATTAATGTGGTGAGACAATAGCTGAGCAAGTAATACAACGTGTGTGTGTGTGTCGCTGTGTGTGGAATCAGTATATAAGAGTATTATGGGAATGGCTGTTTTTGTACCAGTGTTGTATAGAACACAAAACCTATTCCTGTATGCAAAATAGATAATCTTTCCAACTTTCCAGCATTGAAAAACAATTGTAGCTGTTCATGTCACTGTGAACCTTTTTGCTGCCAAAAAAAACACCACACATAATAAAAGAATTCTCACATCTAGCAAATATTTTCTGTGCTGTCTTTTCTGTCTCTCATCTTAATTCCCTTAATTGTGGTGATTCAACATTATACTGATCTGTTCTTCAATGGAAGGTGTTCTTGGGCTTCAGTGTTTAGATACCACAGTTTTTGCATCTTTAAAGAAGATTGTTTGAGCTGAAGGCACACTAAGAAAAGTTGCCTTCCGGGTCGCTGTCTTACATAGCCTTTGGACTTGATTGTGTATCATTCCTTGTCATTCTCTTTGACCTGGAAAATAGGACAGGCCTAGTAATTATATAAACAACCATCTTGCAGCAAACCATATTTCTAAGAGCTATCATTGTTTTAAAACTTACTTGGTTTGTTCCATTGGGAACAATATAATAATCTTCTGTGGGTTTTTTTTCTCTTAAACTATGCTAGTAGACTTCGCTGTTTCACTTAAGAATGTTTTATGCCATTTATATCTAATATTGGAGAACCAAGAATTTTTCCTAGAACCATATGTGAAATTATTTTTAAAAGGTGTCTGACTAAGATAACATGTCGGTAATACACTGTTGGTTCTCTCAGTAACACTCTCCATTCAGAATACAGTTGATTTTAAAGTTTCAATTCTGAATTATATCATTTCTTAATTTAAAATACCATCGAGGATGCTCTGATCATAGTCTCCTCTTCAATTGAAATCTAATGCAGCATCAACATTTCAATAAGTAAATGAATGGTAGTACTGTATTTAATATCTCATCCATATATACATCCTGGTTGCAATACTGTAGTTTTAATTGGAGAAATTGGGGTTTGGATTAATTGAAACAATATTTATATTTATCCTATTTTTGCAGATAAGAGAAATATTTGCACAATTCATTAATTTACTTTTGTTGTGTTTTTCTATATAGGACCGAGGTAGATGGGTAAGTGGTACCTTGCAGCTATCTTGAACTCAAATGTACCATGGTTTATTAGTGCCTGAGCTGACTCTCTTTCACCTCAGTTTCAATCTCACTGTATGACATGCCACTATTTTTGGCCAATCAACACTTCATTCTCAGGCCTTTGAAAAACAAAGCCTCTTTTTGTGCCTTCCAGATAATCCATATATTTTCCCAACATGTCAAAAGTTTATATCAAAGTTGATATGCGATCTTTTCCAGTGAAACAGATCTTAAGTATCCCTAAACACTATAATCTTACTAAATGTGGGAAGTTTTAAATCTTAACCGGTTGTTAAAATCTTCTGCATTGCCCATATGACATATGCGCTACGTATGCAGTGTGACTTCTTTTATTTTTGGAATGGTGTCAGAAATTAAAGTCACCATGTCATGAAGCCAGACTATTGAAACCCTCAAAATGGGTTACGTAGGCAACAGAAGCAAGAACGCATATTCCTCACAGTATGCTGGAAAAGTCAGACATCGGCAAAGTTAATGTTTCAGACTACAATGCCAAAGATGCTTTCCAGGAAATTTTTGGAGTTGTAGTCTAAACTCTTAAGAAAAGGATCAGTCAAAAAGTGGGGGTAGACAGGCCAAGCCCAGATGCTGGCTAAAGTGGTGCAACATCCTCGGGAAGTAGCTGGAAATTTTTCGCATTTCAAATGTTCAGATTATTAATGTTCGCTCTTACAAGATGTATCGTTCGTGTTGCACAGTCCAGTTGTGAATCATGACTTGATTGCTTGCTCTTCAGTGCTTTGTTTTTCTGAGCACATGGCTGAAATCCTAAAGCATAATTTGCAGGAATAAAAAAAAGTCTTAATTCAATACTTGTGTATTTTAAGTATTAGACCTGAACTCCTAAAGTTTCAGGGTGTGTTTGATTTTGCTATCCTTTAAGCTGGACAGTTCATTGCTCTCTGAATGTGAGGATCTATAATGGCTGATCCCTTGGTTCCTTGCATCACAAGGGTGCCACTTCAGGCATTTCTCTGCCCAATAAGCTTTCATACCAGGCTGTTCTTTGTAGGCATCTTTTGCCAGGGTTCATCTAATCCAGTTCCCTGAGACAAATATGATCTAGAACACTGGTTCTTAACCTTGGGTTACTCAGGAGTTTTGGACTGCAACTCCCAGAAGCCTTCACCACCAACTGTGCTGGCTGGGGTTTCTGGGAGCTGCAGTTCAAAAACATCCGAGTAACAAAGGTTAAGAACCACTGATCTAGAATATGTGGAACATCTGCAGACTTTAAGGCTTCCGGGGGCCTGCCTGAGGCTGGGCAAGCATCTTCCTGTCTAGTGTTTATGTCCTGAGAAAGCTTAACATTTAGAGTAGCAACCAGCTATTCAAAGTAATTTTCACCCAGGTTTTTAAATGGTCTGCTGAATTTGTAACTTTGAATGCTGAAAATGCTGACCTATTAATAACATTAAATGAAGAGGCCTTGGCTGGCAGAAAGTATTAATGGTTCATTTTTAATTCCTTGCCAATGTTTAGCTGAGAAATGCAAATGTCTGATTGAAAACACATCCTAGCCTTCCTTTACAGTTTAAATAAAGTGCAGAACATCTGTTGATGTTGAGCTAGAAAAAGTACTTCAGCCATACTAACTTCCTGATTCCCACCCCCTCTGTATTTTATTTATTTATTTAAAATGTTTTCCCCTGCCTTTTTCCTTAAAAAGAACCCAAGGTAGATTACATCTTTGAAATACTGTACAGTGTTGAAAACTTAACAGTGAGTATACAAATATTTAAAAGGATCAAATAAATCCTCTACACACAAAAAATCACAGTAAAACATACTCAAGGCAGTAAGGTGTGCAGCAATCCATTAAAAAACCCCACGGAGGCAGCCAGTCACTCCGGGAAGACTTGTCTAAAGAGAAAAGGTTTGCCTGCATGTGAAGGGGCAGTGAAGAAGGGGACCGCCTGGCCTGTCATTGGAAGGAGCTTCAGAGTCTGGGAGCGGCCACAGAGAAAGCCTTCCGTATATTCCCACTAAATGCACTTATGAAGGTGGTGGCACCAAGAGTAAGGCATCTCCTGAGGATCTTAATAGCCAGCCAGGCTCATAAAGGGGAGACACGGTCTTTGAGATACTTGGGCCCAGGCCATTTAGGGCTTTACAGGTTAAAACCAATACTTTGAATTCTGCCTGGGAACAGATCTGTAGAGAGGTGTCTTCCTTGTAATCAGGACACGGCTCCATCAGAAACGAGGTTTAGCCTTTAAATCGTAATGCTGGCTCTGTTGTCTGTGACTCCTGTTTGTGCTCTTCATAGGCACTTTTTAGTGTTCAAATCAATAGTGTAAGCTGTGTGTTGAACTTTGCCTCCTAGCTGGTAAAGTAACAGCACAGCCAGAGAAAAGGATAATGCTCTGTTTTTCAACTGTTGTGCTGCTGACTGTCCAAATGAAATTCGTCATGTTTAAGTTTATTTTCCACACCCCTGGTTCTGGGAATGAAAAGAGAATCTTGTGCTTCATTCCCATGACTCTTCAGCTTGTGAGTTTCTGCCTGAAAGACACACTCTTGCTTTGTGGGTGCAGCTAAAGCGCTGTTGCTGTAGCTGATTACCGTGAGAAGTGTAGACCTTTGCAGAAGCTGTACTAAAACGACTGAATACTGTACAACAGCTCTGACAAGTAGATAATATAGTACACAGTATTCTCAGCTTTAGATCAGGTGAGGTAGATTGCCTTTTGTTTCCAAACCTGAATATGAACAATAATTATCTTGTCTATTATCAATATCCATTAATTGATAATTACATTGAATCAGCAACAGCAGAAAGCCTGTGAATCAATTTTGCCTCAAACCAGCTTTGACTGTCTTTTAATATTGTCCGTTTGCTAAAAGCAAAGCAAAGTGTGCTGTTTATATACCACCCCCATAATGCTCAAAGCAATCTCTGGGTGGTTTACAAGTTAATTATCCAGGCGATACATTGCCCCACCCCCTAGCAAGCTGGGTACTCATTTTACTGACCTCGGAACAATGAGTGGACCTTGAGCCAGCTACCTGGGATTGAACCCCAGATCATGAGCAGAGTTTGGCTGCAGTACAGCAATTTAACCGCTGCACCACGAGCCTGCTAGCCAAACAATGATTTTTGCAAATACTTCTATGTACATTTCTGGTGGTTTGTCAATCTAAGTGCTTTGGGTTTATAGAATCCTGGTAAGAAGCCAGGACTAGCTTTCTAAAACAAACTTCAAAGGGATGCATGAAAAACAAAAAGGAGACTTCAACATTATGAGCTTCATTCTAAAGGTACAGGTGCATTTTCAAGGATACTTAAACAGAACATTTGGGCAAACGTTCCTATTTCAAGAATAATTTTCATAATAACAGCGTGTACCATTTTGCCAAAATATTCATTGACTTAAACCTAAATTAATGGCCTCTTTGTGGTTAATTAACACCAGACTAATGAGAATATCAACTTTATCGAAAAGTCAAAGAAATGTTCTTTGTCTACTTTCCATCAAATAGTAACTCATTTAGGAGACCTTGATAATGTTTTTTAATCATAAATCAACTGGACACCATTTTGAAAGGCCTACTTTGCAGCAGAATCTAGTTCCCTCTACTTGTGAACTAAATTTCATTACATGGAAGAAACCTGTTAGTCTTTATTAGATTTTATCTATACTCCATAGTTATTGCGGTTTGATAGTGTCTTTAACTGCCATAAGTCCATCCTGTGGAGTCCTAGAATTTGTAGTATAAGATACCTAGACTTATTTGCTAGCAAAATCTATATGTGGTATCTCAAGGGAGTGCATGAGAGTTCTTGAGTAGAGAAAATTAGTCCATTACCCCTCCAGACTCACAGTATCCCGGAGTCTGGAATCATAGCAGTGAAGATCCCCAGCTATCCATGGACACTGCCATATCTCTGATTGAGTTCCAACTCGTATGAATAGTAGAGGCTGCTCTTTTTTAAATTTGTCACCCTCCAAGTTTAGGGGGATGATGGAAGTGGAAGGGGCGGGGCAAGAGTGCTCACTTCTACCTGTGGTGAGTGTACACTGATTTATCATGCATGCATAGACCTATAGTTAGGATAGGACATGCCATAAAATATTAAAGCAAGCCTTTTTTGAAATCTTTTTTGAAGCCCTTTTTGGTCCACCCTAAGCCTTACCTTGATGTCATATCCAAAGTAAAGACAGATATCATATCATATATGGTGGAGTTGACTTGAACTTACTTGGTGGGATACTGCCCAGAAATGAAATACACCTCTTTTAATAACAGTGCCTTGATCATGGAACTCCTCCTTAGTGTTAACTCTCTGCCCGGTGCCTTCTCTTCTATCAATTAGACGGATCCACAGAAGAGAAGGTTTCTTTTATTGGTATTTATCTCCTCTCATATAAATTGCTTATGTCATAAATGTGCTGCCCTAATTGTCCATCTGTTGTTTTTTAATTGCCTGTTGAAAAGTGTCCTGATAATTGTGTGAGGGAGGAAATGTTTTTATATACATAATTTTTTTTAAGCTACAAACTTTAGGTCATTGTTTTTCAGAGCAGAGAACACATCATCTATGACATCTTCATACTTGGGTCACTATATCTATCTGCACTCTTAACTCTTCAGCCTTACTAAAGGGTTTTGGCGTACTCACCTGTCTCCATTACAAACAGATTTTAGTCACGGCTTTCAGGAAGTATGTTCCATTGTGGTACCATATTTGACACTATTGAAAACAATAAACATGGTTACTTTCAGGTTCAGAAGCATTTACACTGCCTTGTGTCAGTTTCCACATCAGGCACTTGCAGTAAAGTGTTAAGGTCCATCAGCCAAGTTCTGTTCCGAAGTGCTCCAAAAGAACATAAGAAGAGCCATTCTAGATCAGAGAGCAATGGACATATATCTCTCCTCAACTCCTCTGTCAATTGTCCCATCTGCCTTTGTAGACATCTCCCATGACCAGCATGAAAGCAGGCCACCCTGCTTTCACTCACTACAAGCCAGTCCTGAGTTAACCCACACCTTCTTCGATCTGGGGCCTTCTGCTTCCACTGGTCGCAGCAGAAGATGGGTTCAGCTAGCCAGACCTATAAAAGTAAGAGCCTTGTCAGGGAACATGGCTCCTGAGCCCAGCAAAGAGGCTCCCCAGTGACAAAGTGTCTTAATCCCACTTGACAAAGCTTTGAAAAAAGGGGAGTGTAGTGTCTGAGTGAACTTAGCAATGGAGTGATAAGAGCAGGGCACATTATGTTTTTTTTTTCATTTCCATTCTGCCCCATCCCCTTAGAAGTCAGTATTTTGTCCTCAGTGGGCATACTCGTACTTCAGGGGACTGTCTTCCCACCAGCACCTTTTAAGGGTTTTCCCTGGATACCTATATTGTTTTGCTTCTGCAGACCTTGGGGTTCTGCCTTTTTGTGGGTCAATGGGTGCTATTTTGGTTCCGTAAGGAATCACACATAGAACATGCTGTTAATAAATGGGATATTGGAGGTTCCTCCCTCTCATAGTGAACTTGGTGCCTTCGTAGCCACAGGCGTGAGATCACGAAAGAAAAACAAAAATAACACCCCTGGAGGTCCACCCGTCACAAAAAAATGTGCTGAGGAATAAGCAAGTTCTGTGGATGCCAAGAGCCAGGGAATGTTAAGGGTCAGCTGGAAAAGAAAAACAGAAAATAGAGGTGGAGGAAGGGAAGGAATTGTCTTGCTGAAGCCTCAGGCAGCACATAGAACTCCAGAAGAAGGCAGAAGCTAGTGTGTTATGGCCATTAGGAGTACAGCTATTAGGGAGACAGGATAGAGCACAACTGTTTTGCTGCAAGCCCAAATTGCATTGTACCGCAGTGAATACTGCGTCTCTTTCACTTGGAAATGAGAAACCTTGTGCCTTTTCCCCAAAGTTCATGAAATCCATCTTTGTTTCCTCAGAGCCGAGCCCCTATTTCTGCAAAGCTTGTTGCCAACATGTTATCAGTTGCTGGAGCAGACCACATTATCACCATGGATTTGCATGCATCCCAGATACAGGTAATTAGGGGTCAATTTTCTCCCCTGTTTCATGGACATTAGGCCACTTTCTATGTTTGCATTACTGCTATTTTTGTTCTGTGTATGATAACATTTATTTCCTGGCTTTCTAAGCAAAAGGTCAACTCAAGGTGTTTTTCAGTAAATGGATAGCAGTGTAAGAAAAGAATATCAAATGCAGTGAAACAGAAATAGTTCATAAACAGAAGATTCAAAGGTTCTTAGCTTAAGTAATGTATAGCTGATAATACAATGTTTTCTTCAGAGCCCTAAAAGCAGGCAGTTATGCAACAACCTCTTTAGGGAAGTTGCCATATAATCTTGAGTTCTACAACAGGAAAGAGTCTTTCTTCTTGCTCCACCAACTTCCTCTTAGCTGATGGTTGATAAGGAGAGTAACAGAAATTGGGCTTCTTGAGCAGACTCATGAGCCTTGTCCTAGGCAGTTTTAGGGTCTAGAAGCTAAAGCCAGCAGCAAAATTCAACCTGCAAGCAAATCAGCAGTAATCCAAATGTTGCAAGTATCACTTGCAGTTAGAATGTGCTATTCAGTCCCTTTCGGCTGATGGCTACCCTAGGAGGATTCTTGAAGTACATGAGATGTTCAAGGGGTGTTTTGCCATAGCCGCCTCCAAGTGAGTTTCCATGGCAGAGCAGGGATTTGAATTCAGGTCTCTTGAATCCTAGTCATGTGTTTTGTCTGCTACAGCAGAATGGAACTCAGTTGTATAGCTCTGCTTAAAAAACAAAACAAGCAAACAAAACCAGAAAAACAGTTGCAGTGATTTGGGGGGGGCATTTTCCCCCCAAGGCTACTTTAAACAGAACGAGCATTACTACTGCAATGATCTCTCTTTACATTACACATTCTGATACTTAACAGTTGTTGGTTTTTTTGGGGGGGGGGTCACTCACACATTTGTAAAACTTGTTGACTTGGCATCAAAGACAAGTCGTGGTTTTGGAGTTTTTCTCGAGAGCAATAAAACATGGAGGCGGGCTGGCTTCCATGGCCTCTGAGGCTTTGGAGTGCAGAGCAGGTGTGCTGCAGACTAGATCGTTGAGGAAGATCGATACAGTGGTGCCTTGCTAGACAGTTACCCCACATGACAGTTTTTTCGCTAGATACTGACTTTTTGCAATCACTATAGCAATTTGCAAAACAGTGATTCCTATGGGGGAATTTCGCTGGACAATGTTTGGTCCCTGCTTCGCAAACCAATTTTCGCTAGACAACGATTTTGACAGCTCCCTACACACTCACGAAACAGGTGTTTTCAGAACCTAAGCTTCACAAGACAGCTATTTAAACAGCTGATCGGCGGTTCACAAAGTGGCTTTCCTATCGCCGCTCTTCGCTAGATGACGATTCTTCCCCATTGGAACACATTAAACAGGTTTCAATTCATTCCAATGGGGAAATGCTTTTCACTAGACGATGATTTCGCCAAACAGCGATTTCAGTGGAAAAGATTATCATCGTCTAGCGAGGCACCACTGTAATTGTATGATTCTAAAATGCCAGCAGTTGCTTTCATCATAAAGGAGAAAACAAGGCAATTCCAGCAAGGGGGTGGGTGGGTGGTCAGGGAGAGAAGAGTAGATCCTGCTCTCGATGAAGAAAACATTCAATAATGTTTTTCTCCTAGCCCCTTTTGAGGAGGTCTTTTCCTCTCTTGTGTCAGCTTCTTCAGTGAAATGCATCATAAAGGAGAAAACAAGGCAATTCCAACAAGGGGGGTGAGTGGGTGGCCAGGGAGAGGAGAAGAGTAGATCCTGCTCTCAATGAAGAAAAAGGTTCTATTCAATAATGTTTTTCTCCTAGCACCTTTTGAGGAGGTCTTTTCCTCTCGTGTCAGCTTCTTCAGTGAAACAGTTGGATTAGTGCAGGATGTTTCTCAGTCTGATTTTCACAGTGGCCACACACAATATGTTAAACATTATGCTTCAGCTGTTACTTGCAGCAGGAGATACACATATTGCTTTCCATATGCTAGGGAAGTAGGGTTTTTTTAGATTTTCCAAACTTCTGCTTTTTTAGTGTCATCCTTTAGGTCCTATGAGCTGGGGCTGGCAGAGGGTAGACCAAGCTCTACTAGTAGATCTCCTGATCTGCTGAAGATCGAAAGAGTTTTGAGCTTGCTGTAGCTTAACAACAGGCAACCAAAGGCCTTCATTTTATGTCCGCCTTTCTGGACCTTTTAATCCTGTGAAAAAAATTACAGTTTAATGGCTGAAATCCTGGTTGCCAAGGCATAAATGTAAGATTACCTCACTGTAAATGTGCCAGGTGTTGCATCCCAGCAACAAGAATTGATCAGGTTGATTGCACAGCTAGTTGCGTCGCTCCCATTTCAACCAGTGTGCAGTGCCCTGGCGGAAATGCTTCATGGATAGTTCTATCTGGATGCAGAAGTAGCTACCGCAGGTATAAGATCAAGCTGCGCATGCAACAGGATTCCGACCACAGTGTATCTGTCTGTTTTCTTGTAATTTCCAGGGCTTCTTCGATATCCCAGTGGACAACCTGTATGCAGAACCAGCTGTACTGCAGTGGATCAAAGAAAATATCCCAGACTGGAGAAACTGTGTCATTGTCTCACCTGATGCAGGTGGAGCGAAAAGGTAAAACACCACCTTTACCTAAAATATTGACATTTGTTTTACAGAGCAGAAGCCACTTTTGTGTTTGATGGTTGCCTAAGGATAAGAAGCTTAGCTTGCCCTTGAGGAATGCTGTTCTGAAAAGCCTCAAAGAGTACACCACCAACAGTGGTGGCAAGCGCTGTGCTCTAAAGAAGATGATTTTCTCCCTCCCCCTAATTTTGGTTGTATTTGTACACTAGAAGAAGAGAGAGGGGCTTTTCTGCTGTGTGCTTCATATAGCTCCACTGCTACGGTGTACATAATGTCTCCCTCTGATTTTTAAGTGCTCTTACCTTTTCTTTCTTTTCTGCAAAAATACTTGCTTAAGGTTTAGTTCTTTATAGGCTGGTGTGAATAATTGAGATTGCAATTGGGAAAAAGCATTTAAATGTCCATGTTGCATGTCTGCTGATCCTTTATCTTGGTTGCTATATTGATCTCTGTATATGTTGATTCAATCAAATGTGTGTTCTCTTAAGTAGCCAGGCTATGTGCTGTATAATCTGCCTTCATTTTAGGGCATATTCTGAATCCGTTCTGCTTTTTTCTAACCTCATAGTTAGAGCTTCCTTTTATCTGCTTGTTTTGCTTACAGATGTGTAATCAAGACAAATAGGACAGTTTCATCCTAGCAGTCCAATTAGTTTTGTTCCGGTCTGCCCCTCCACGAAAAAGGGACTGAAAATTGTGTACTTGAGTGAACAGCAAACAAATATTTGAAGTTTTAATCATGGGAATAAGCAAGGAAGATGCTCAGTTGTCAGTGGCCATCTCCTAAAGTTCTGAAGCACTTCTGTGCAGATGACAAAACACATTTGTGTCGCGGGTACCTTGCGGCTGCATGAACAAAAAAAGATTGCAATCATAGATACATAATGTGAAAACCTGTGTAGGCTAAATGTATTCGCCTCTAAAGATGCAGATAGACTGTGGCTCTCTGTATATTTCAGTAACATCCTTGGTACTAAATGAGATGTTTGTAATGTCAATGAGATAAAAATGCAGGTTTTAATAGAATTCACCTAGCATAGCTTACCCAGTTCTTAATCCTCTAATACTTTCTGCTGAGTAAGTCAAGGTTGCACAGAGCCCATATTTCAAAAACTTTCCTGCCCCGAAAAAACACCCCCAGCCCAATATGTATAAAGGTACTAAATTGATCATAAATTATAGGGAGATAAAGGTTTTTTAATAGGGTGGGTGGAGTTGGATTTTCTATTAATGCTGAAGGCGTTTGCCGTTTCAGACCCTCTGCGTGTCTCGTGTTATGTTACCCTAGCCATTAACTTGTCACACATTTGGCTCTAGTGGGTGTACATTCTTTTTTTGTACTAGATTTTGTTTCCATACATTCTAGGGTCACCTCGATTGCAGACAGACTTAATGTTGAATTTGCCCTGATCCACAAAGAAAGGAAGAAAGCCAACGAGGTGGATCGCATGGTCTTGGTTGGGGATGTGACGGATCGCGTTGCAATACTTGTGGATGATATGGCAGACACTTGTGGTACCATATGCCATGCAGCAGACAAGTACGTAAATCGTAGTGAATCATTTTTGGGGCAGATCATAAGACAAGGCAAAAAGGATGACCAAGTGATTTACTCCTGTGGAGTGACCTTGTTGCCTTTTCATTTATTAAAAAAAAAAATCCTGCCTGCACAAGTGTTTACCCCTTTCAGATATGCATGTCTTTGCACTTATAAATTATGTATTTTTATGGGTAGTTGCAGGATGCCTTCAAATTTTAGGAAGATACATGATTTTAGGCTGTCATCCAGTAAGGTGAATTCTTTATGGCACCTCTATAAAATTGGAATATGTGCACATTCTAAATAAATATTTACCTGTCAAATCACCTGTTTACATGCATCAGTTTGCACCTGTGAAGGGTCATCACACATTATGAAATACCCTGTGTGGAAACTCCTTCCTTGCTGCAGTTCTGGTAGTTCTGAGAGTGAATCTTGGTGTTAAACTGTTGTTTGGAGGGAGTATTTTTGAATATATGGGGACTATGTAGCATAATGGAGGCTGCCTTTCGGTCGGGGGGGGGCAACTTTGGCGTGTCCAGGTGCCAGTTTTGTGCCACTGCCCTCCAGATTCATGGGGACCACCAGAAATGCAAAAAAAAAGAAGAAGAAAATAGAAGTATCTAAAAGTCCCAGTTTTCAAAAGGATATTTTTTTCATGTTAAATGGTACAGAGGAGGACTGCATTCTATTTAAAAGGCAAGTTATGCTTATGGAAACTTTTCTTTATTTTTCCTGGCAAAGGAAGAGAAAGATGGGGCCACAAACACAGCCTAGAGTGCACATTGCTATTGCTTCTCCCTGCTTTAATTACTTCAAAGTCACCAAAGGATATGTTGATAGCTGGTTGCTTGGTTATCTGCTGGATCCACTGTATACACTTTTTATTACCTTCACCTTTTTTCCCTGTTATGATAGGGACTTGAGAGTAATTTAGGATCATTCCTAAAACTAGCTATCTAAAATTGTGCTGATGTTCACAGAATAAGATTGCCCCCCCCATCTTATGTTTTATAGGCTAGTGTCTGCAGGAGCGACTAAAGTTTATGCTATTCTTACTCATGGGATCTTCTCCGGCCCTGCTATTTCTCGGATCAATAATGCTGCCTTCGAAGCGGTAGTTGTAACTAACACAATCCCTCAGGAAGAGAAAATGAAACACTGCCCCAAGATTCAGGTACTGTAACCTTCTATGATGGTAGCTCTTCTTCAGGCACACCTAGGCAGTACAGGGAAGTTTCATGTATCAGTAGAGCTTTATAGGCAGCAGAAATGAGTCGCTCTCTGGGGAGGATCTTGTCTCTGCTCTGTGGAAGGGCGTGTGAAATGCAACTTCTTATGATGCAAAACCTCGACTTTTTGATGCAACCAAAAATGTTGGTAGACACCAGACATTATAGAAGAGATCATTAGAAGTCCCAGGATTCTTCAGCCTGTCGCCATGATGGTTAAAGTGGTATCACACTGTTCTCACTGGGCTGTGTAGATGTCCTCTTAGAGTGCAGTCTGGTGGGCAGGTGTGACAGGCACAGGAGTAGTTAATGTAAGGCATTAAACACTCGCTTCTTATGCAGAATGACAATCAGTGATGTTGCTGTGTTTGCTGAACCCAGCCATTCAGGCTAAATCGAGAATAAGGGATCCATATTAGAAGAGTTGCAGTCATTTGGATGCCTCATTCCTGATTCAGCAGTGTTAGAGAGAAAAAACAGGGGACGATTATAATTTAAAAGGGGGCATCTACTGCTGTCTTAACACACTAAACACACCTAAACTTTTCAGACTTTAGAGGCTAAGCAGGGAATGGCCCTGTTGGCATTTAGATGAGAGACCACCACCAAGAAGCTCCAGATTGCGCTAAGGAATGAAAACTCTGCTTCAAGTCAGTGTTGACCAGACAGGGCGAGATGGACTAATGTTCTGACTCAGTCAGGCACTTCCGAGGCTCCTTGTCCTATGTGCCCTTGCAAGTCTTGGAGACAAGCCAGAACTGGCATGAAGGTGCAGTGGAAATTTCCCATCTTTGAAAGTGTGAAATATAAACTAACACTGTAACAAATTCATACAATACCAGTCAAATGGGGCAAGTTTCAAAGTTGCAATTTAATGATGTATTCATCATTAAACGTAAATGAATCACTTTTTGGGCATGCTTAAATTAACTAGAATTCAGTCACAGTTTTACATTTTAAACTGTGTGAGGGAAGTACCTCCTGAAAGCAAGACAGAGAAGTAAATAGGCTAAGGCTCTACATAAATGATGTTTTATTAACTAGATGGCCACCATGCAGAGAGATGAAGAGCTACTGTTGGAGAAATGGATTCTTATTGCCCTCTGGTGGTTCAGGAGGTTTATTGCATTTTATGTACAGCTTCTGCCTCTTATCCCATGTTGGGACAGTTCACTCTCGTTCATAATGGGGTAGGTCTGAAGGAGTCTTTTGCTCACAGAATGCCTATTTTGCAACATTGGGCTACAACTCTGTATGAGGCATGCGAAGCTTCCTGAATATGCTTTTTGCATGTCTTTTAAGTTCTTGCCGAAGGGCTTGCTCAGCTTGAAGTGTGGGAACTACAACTAGCAAAGTTCTTCCTGGTTGTCATGGTTATTTGCCTTCAGACAAATTATAAGGTTCTTCTCATGTAAGGCTTAATTCATATTTAATTTTGGGATGTGGTGTCAAGGTTTTGAGAAACACATCTGCTTTTTGGTGCAAAGATATAATGTGTGGGGGGGGAGTAATTTTGTTTAGTTTGTTTGTAAGCCTCTGCCTTTCTTTACTTTCCAGGTTATTGATATTTCTATGATTCTGGCTGAGGCAATTAGAAGAACACACAACGGCGAATCCGTGTCTTACCTGTTCAGCCATGTCCCATTATAACTTCAGATCAGCCATGGCGTGTGCATTTGGCGATGCTGCGCTGAGAATATCATGATAGCAAATATCCAAGAAAGCTTCAGGCTGACTTTGTGCACATTCCTTCTTTTAATCTGGACAGTAAATAAAATGGGTGAGGGGGAATTACGTCTTTTTCAAAAGCAAAGCTAGGGAGCCTGTACCTAATCAGAGATGCCCAGCTTGAGAATATCTGAGCCTTACTTCGAACAGAACTGCTTATGGACACTACAGATTTGGATAAATGGCTTGTGTAATACATCCTGTGAGGAAATCAGTCTCTTAAGTTGGTAGATGTTTTATAGTTCTTCTTTCTCTTTTTTTAACCCCTCTTAAAATTGGACCTGCGGTAATGATTAACTGCTTTGCCCTCTTACCCTGAGGAGTGTCTGATTCCAGTCTCTGTTTTTTGGACCTGTTTACCTAGAGCCGGTCACCACTGATGCTGTATGACAGCTATGACTGCATATCTTTATGCCTAAATTAAATGTGGCAGCCCAAAGATTAAAGCCTCAGCAGTACTTTCAGATTGACCCAAAAAAAAAAATCCTCTTGTAAACATGAGAACTATTGCAGGGAGAAACAACAAAACAAATTATGGCAAGTTTCATATGTCCTAAGCTTTTCTGGACTACTACTCACATCGAATGCCAGTCTGGTGTCTGGGAAACTTTATGCCAAATGAAACCCGTTGGTCTTTAAGATGCCACAGTATGCTTTGTTTGAGGTGCCACAAACTACAGCTGCTGCTCTGGAAATTTAAATTACTGATGCTAGTAGTATTTGATGCATGATATTCAGAAACCTTGAGATAAATGGTCCTGTAGCAATTTGTTGTTTTAATATATTTGTAAATCCTTTGTCATTTTCAAATGTTTGTCAAACTTTCCTTGTCATTCCATTGTGTTCTGCTGCACACTGGTGAGACCCAGGCTGGCATGGTTTATGTGCTAGTGGAGCCATTGTAACACATCTCTTTTTTCTACCTTTTAATATTTGAAGCTCAAGCTCACATTGGAAAAGTCTGTCCTGCCCCTTTCTAGATGCTGAACCAACACTGCCATGGGAAAAAAGCTTCAGGGTGCGGCCTGGGGCTTAAGCAGTTTAAAGTAAAGATGAGAAGGAGGCCATCAGCCTCTAAAATTTCAATCTAGTGCTAAGAATCCACTCTTAATGGTACCTGTGCATTAGAGAAGTCTAATAATTAAAAGATAACAAGCATGGTCTTTCTTGAACTTGTGAATTTGGATCTGCTTTTTATATTTAAAAATATCTTCCACATTGTTTATCCCTTGTATAAAATGGCAAAGTTTCTTTTCTTCTTTCCCTCAGAAAACCCCCAGATTCCCACATGATCACATGTATTTTCTAAAGATCCCTTTGTGGCAAACTGAAACAACCCTAGAAATAAGTTTGTGGTGTAATTTTCGAGCAGTGAGCCACTTTTGAAATTAATTGCTTAGTATTTGTCCATGCAGCTGCCTAACTGCCATGTCTCATCATAAGTAAAAATGAAATCTGTGTAAGGGAGGTTGGTGACAAAACCTTGTTTTTGGTAGATGTGAGTTATACCCTAGGACAGCACTACAAAAACTTGTTTAAATATAATTCATTTGCTTTTTCTATAGTTAAAAACAAATCCTATAGTGATTAAAATCTGCCTAGAATCTTCAAATGGCTTCCACTTTAGTGTTCAAAGGTATTTCTTCATTTGTACTGCTTTTAGTGGTAAGAAGACACTTGGAAAGTATATGATGCTTAAACCAAAAAGTCTTTAAATGTGTTTTCTGACCAAAACACTTATGCATTCAATTCAAAGTCTTCATAATATTTCTGTCTCACCTGCTTAAAAGTACAGCATTTCTCAGTTCTCTGGCTGAAATCTTGTTGCACAGCTTCATGAATGCAGCGGGAACGATGCCATTAGGTGGGGTGAATTGACAGTGATTAAAGGCTTCCTTGGGTGGCTTCAGGATGCATACAACTCATACACAGTGTGGCAGAGTAATTGCCCATGGCACACGCAGAGTGGTGCAACAGGATTTCAACCATTGTGTCGTTTCTGTGTTTGTTCAGATTAGCCACCATCACACCAAAGCTGGACCAGCTAAAAATCGTTTTGTTACATGTGATAAGTTACAGAATATGCCTCTGTTCCAGAAGTCGGCAAGAAAGGTTTGCTCGTAAATGTGTTCAGGTTTCCCAATAAATCTTGATCCAGCGTTAGTGGTTGTACTGCTTTAGCTCCTTTACCTTATGCCAGGAACAAAAAATTCCATGGCTGGTTTTACCTGTTGATATAAATCTAAGTGTGGTGTGAGTTTCCAGTGTAAGGTAGTGGATAGAGTGACAAGACTAGGACTCGGGATCCCTGAGTCTGAATCTCCACGTGGCCATGGGAACTCACTGGAGGTGTGGAACTGGTAAAACCACTCCTTAAATATCTCTCACTTACCTCGAAAGTCCTGTTAGGTTCGCTCTAAGTCGGTTCTGAATTGATAGCACAGAACACACAAACACAAGCCTAAATGGAATATAAATTATTACCTTTGCTTTTAAAATAAATTTACATTTACACAGAAACTGTGTAATGCTAGAAAACCATTAAGCTCTGAGAGGTTAGGGCCAGAGAATGTGAACCTTATTATGCCTTAGATGCTGTTATGAAATGGCAGTCAGGCTAACTATTCAGTTGACTTCTCTTGAGTGTGTGTCTTTTAATGATGACAAAGCTTGTTTGTGTCCCAGTCCATTTACAAGCTCCCAAATAGTTTGAGATGCGCTTGAGCCTCAGAAGGTTATTTGATTATCTGATAAATGTGCCAGGAAATGTTCATGGTCTTACTGGGGGGCGGGGGGAGTTGCATAGGATGTTATACGTGGCTGTCATTTTGAGATTTAGTTCAATTTAAGTAAGTTTAAACATCATGTGAAAGCTTAAATCCTCTTTTGATCTTGTGTAGCGGCAGATGCCTCAAATGTACATCCTAGCCAGCACAGACAGTAATGAAGGCTTCTGGGAGTTTTAGTCCAAGAACATCTGGGGCATAAGGTTGGGAACCACATATATTAAGGGGAGTGAGGATGGGGGGAGCTTCTGCAAGTGATCCTGCTTGTGGAGGTAGAAAGAAAAAAGAAACAAATGAAAATGAATCATCTCCTTTTAGTCTCCACTCTGAAATAGAGTGTACTTTCTTGAATATGATATGCCATATAATGTAATGCCCAAGTGTACAGTCAGGCTGAGTATTTTATGTTCAGGGTGAAAAAAGGTGTTATTGGTGACTTGTAGTAAAAGTTCCAAACAGATTCACTTGTTTTCAATGCTCTTGTTGTCCCATTTATTATTATTCTTTTTTTAAAAAAAACCTCTTCATGTTCCTTAAGCTGACTGGATAGCTCAGTGGGTAAGGTATCTGGCTCCAGAACCCAGAGGTTGGGAGTTTGATTCCCTGCTGTGCATCTCAGAAGAGCCAGTCTGTGTAGCCTTGGGCAAGCTGCAGAGCCCTAGGATGTCTCCAGAAGAAGGGAGCAGTAAACCACTTACAAATACCCTCTACCTTGAAAACTCTGGAATGGGTCACCATTAGTCAGAATTGGCTTGACAGCACATCATGATGATGATGATGATGATGATGATGATGATGATGATGATGATGATGATGATGCTTAACCTCATTTGCTCTTCATGGCATTTAATCCAATTAGCATGCAACAGGTTTCACTTTGAGGGAATATTTCCTCAGAATCCAAATACTGGCTTCTTTTATGGAATTTGCTGAATCCTAAAGTCGTTGTAGTCCTTCTGAAACCAAGCTGTTGCTCTTATTTAGAATAAACTCTCCATAACTTTGTGTACAAGACATCACACCTGCTTGACTTGCATGAAAAGGAAGTTGATCTCAGTGGTGAATTTCTCCACCATTAAGTTTCGTTTCACTCTGAACTGAAACTCAAGTGCTGTTTGAGAGCGGTCAGCTGCAAAACCTGGGGGATGGCAGAGGGAGAGAGAAAATACCTTGGTAAGCACAGAGCTCAAGGGAGGAACATTGGCAACTTGGAGCTCTCCTGGGCTTTCACTAAGACTTATTTGGGTTTCAGTGAGGTCAGACTAGTCAAAAGGCGGAAGACACCAAGAACTTGACCTTTTTGCCCACGTGTGTCACATGATTCGATATTGGAAGTGTTGTAGGCAAGTGTTTGGAAGTATTTGCAAACAGTTGGATTCATCCCATTAGCCAAAGGGTGCAGGACAGCAAGAGGTGGTGATGCATACAGTTGGATTAAAGAGGTGCAGTTGCACCTTAAATTTGCATGCCTCCATTGTGTGTGCTTGGCCAGTATCTTTGCTTAGGACTGAGCAGATGGCAACAAAACTGTGCAGTTTTATGAGCTCTGTAAAGCACTCCAGCTGGTATAAGAAGGGAAGAAACAGTTAAGAAGAAAAAAGAATGGCCAGATGTTTGGCCATGAGGTCCCTAATTTAAATCTAGTTGAAAAACAGGGACTTGCAGAATGAATGTATTACAGTACTGATGAATGTTGTCGGTATCAGATTATATCTATAATGCATTGTGGAATATAGAAGCAATGCTAGGTCTCCATTTCTGGAAAGAAAGATAAAACAGGCCTGTTTCTTGTTTTGAGCAAAATGTACAGGTTCCTGAGCCAGCATAGAATAGTCATAAGAAGAAACATGGCAAACCAAACCTTAACAGTCTTTAGATTAACAAAACAAGATGGAATTTATATATATTATAGGTTTTTAAAAGTCAATTGATGTGTGTTACCTAATCCTTGGGAGTCATATTTGTTATAGCATAAGCTCTTATGGACAGACACAGCCACTGCTTCACATTAGATAGACTGTAGTTTTAGAAATTCAGATTTGCTTCTATCAACCAGTATTCTGTTAATGCCAGTGTAATGTAAAGTCATGCCAGTGTAAATATGCCAGGCATTGGACCCGGCTACAAGGGGTTGCACTAAGCAATTGTGCAATTGGTTGTGCAACCCTAGCACAACCGTCTGCACACTGCAGTGGTGGAAGTGCTTTGGGGACAGCACTTCTGCCTCAATACTAGCAGAGCTACAACATATGCAACCTCAACTGGCAAGTGCCATATTTCTGCCACAGGATTTTGGCTATTCAGAACATCTTTCTCTGGCAAAAAGATTCTACTATGAACAATTAAATGCAACCTGTTACAAAGCACTGATGAAAAGAGTAGCTGTGGTGGTCTAAGAGGAAAGAAGACTCCTAATACGTTTCATTATCACTAGTAGGTTGTGTGATAGGTCCATAAAGTATTAGGAGCAACTTGTGGTCCCATAACTAGGCCTGGCTCCTAAAAAACACAAATTGACTTTCCACTTGCTAGCCTAGAGAGAAGCGTGTGTAGCACACACAGATTGTGGGAACTCACTTCGGTTCTTTGGGGAAGAAGAAGAGGTGAGAGGTCAAAGCCACTGTAGAGTAATGCACCTACTAAGCAACGGCCACAAACCTGAATGTGGTTTTGGATTTCAGACTTCATGTTCAGGCCGAGTGCTGAATATGTGGTAGGTGAGTAGCAGCTGCAGCAGCCGTGGGATTTGCCAATTGAAGGAGCAGGTGGGCCTTTCCCTTACATCAAAGCCAAAAATATCATCTGCTTAAAAGAAAAAAACAAGGGCCTGCCAATAGGGTGAGTTTTTTATTATTATTTTTTTTAAAAAAGAGCTCATGTTTTCCTTCATGGCCTTGGTCTACGCTATCTCCAATGAGGCCATATAGGATGTTCTAAGGATTTGGCCATTATCCCAATGTACAGGCCCATGTCCTGGTTTTTGCAGACCTTTTTCAAAGGATTTTTGTGACCTGTTGAGTCTAAAACTTACTGCAGAGAGGGAAAGGGTTAATTACATTTTGCAAATTTTGAATACTAAAATTAGTGGCAAACATATAAAACTGCTGCTTCGTTTTCACTGAGCTGGTAAGTTTGTATCTTGGGCTGCCCCCTTTCAGACTGTGCATCACATGGCGATCGCACATGATGGTTTTTTTTGTTTGTAGAGAACCATTCCCATTTAAATTCTAGATCTCGGGGAGGAAAGGACCTAGACTATCCATTTTCCTGTAGTGCAAGGACTGTTGTGTGTGTGCAACAGAGAGGTCTGTCCTGCATTTTGCAGTAGCATAGTCCAGCCACATTATTACCTCGGTGAAAAGTAGCTATGAGAACTGCTCTAAACTGGCAAACGCATGGCTTTGGGAACAGACTTTTTTTTCTCACCAAGGGGCCCAAACTATTTTTAACTAAAGAAGAATAGTACAGAACTTTGAGGAAGTGAGTACTGATGACAGCTGTCTCACGTGGTATTAATTTTGTAAGTTGTTATTTTGCTCAGAATGAAAGAAAAGAAAAGAAAAAGCTGAACTAGTTCACAGAATGATGAGCTATTCAATTGGTGAAGCTCCCCTGCCATGTCCTGTTGTCTCGTGTTCTTCACCTCAAGTTGTCAGGATTGGCGCTGCTCTCATCGCCTTCATACAGAGATTCCCAAGGACCAGGCATCGCCGTGCCTCAAAAGCAACACCAAGAATGGTAGGTTTAGCTTTTATTGGTATTCATAACAGGCTTTGTTCTTGGAATGGACCTTATGAGCAAGATGCAATATTCAGAAGACATAATTTCCTTCTTTGTTTTGTTCCATCTTTCCTTGTTGCATTCTGTGAAAGCACATTGCCCCAAAAGAATGAACGTGTTAGGTGAAGGTTATGAAATTCAGACATGAATTTGCTAGCTTTTAAAAAATGGCCTTTCATTAGTCTATCCAACTGGGTGGGGCGGCGAGTGTCACAGGCATCCCTGGGAGACCAGTTGCACTAAATTGCCCAGTGCGTTTAGGATTATGACCTTAACCTTATCTGGACCCTTGAAAACAATGGTTGCTGATTTCACTGCAAGGAATAAGGGCTGGAGATGGGATTTGTGTTTCTCACATTCACATTTCTGCCTGTAAACCAAAAGGGAAAGACGCAAGGTCCCCTTAAAGAGATACGAGTAGCCATTTTATGTGCTTTTGGGTTTTTTCACAACTTGTCAGATACAGTTAACAAATAATGTCCCCAACTTTGCTGCTTTTGTGGGGGGGGGGGTTGGCACAACTTGCTAGAAAAATAAATAGTTTGCTGCTTTTATGGAAGTTCCCAGCTTCACTGCTCTTGCCTCTTTGTCTTGCGCCTAAGCCTGCAAAACTTTTTGCATTTCCTTCCTTTTTTTTTTTTTTGGTCCCTTGTTTGTGCAATTGCCTGTTTGCCACCCTTTTGCTTTTCCACCTAGGGTTTTGCTTTTTCCACACATCTTTTCATGGATCTGCTTAATTATGCCTCTTGATGTGTCGGGGTGAAAGTAGTGATGAGAGGTGAGGCTAATCTGGTTTTGTACTTTTCATAACCTAGTTTGCAAACACTAGCAAGGAAAAATATATACGGCATTATTGTCTGCTAACACAAACTACAGTCCAAGGTTGTTGTGAAAGTTTTAAAACAAATGCCTAAGAACAGCTGTCTGTTTCTCGCCTCCTGCATAGTCCATTGCCCAGACTATTCCTCTCCTGCCGAATGGTCCCTCTTAGAGAAGCGGAGAAGCAAGAAGGTCCAAAGAGCCCGAAAAACCCAGAACAACCAATATAAAGAATCACGCTTCCTCTCAGCTGTATGTAACAACTGAAAAGGAAGGTCTGAAGCCACCTTAGGGGGAGTGCGTTAGCTGAGTGCTCACAAGCTGGTGGTGCAGTAATTAGCATCCTTAACCAGGATCCAAGGAACCTAACAACTGGGCTTCTGTAGGCCCATTACCACAGGAGGGGAATTAAAAATGAAATGAATTATCTCTATCAGGTGCATGGCTTTTGAGAAGAGTCACTGGTGTTAAACCCCCGATGCAGCCAGAATGCACCTTTGCTGCTGGCTCAGGGCCTCTTGGAGCATATACATTTTAGGGTTAGCACCTGAAGGGTCAGTCTTGGGCCTACTATCATTCTCTCACCAGAAATGGTCTTTGAGAGCTCTGCCTAGGTTTCCTGTGGGCCTTCAAACTCCCTAGTCTGAGCTTCTCAGTGTTAAGCAGGAATTACTACTTTGAAAACTCAGATTTAAGCAAAATTAGAAAAGTAACATTTATTGATTCAGGAAGTCCTTCAAAGTGCAGGGGGAAAGCCTTACAGAAAACTCTAGAGCTGGCTTCTATGCAGGTGGGTATTTTGGTAGCCATTATAGAAGACAGCACGTTAGTGACTGCTATCCTCTAACAAAGGGGAATGGCAGCTACTTAGCTTCTAGGAAGAAGTAAGAAGTAAAACAATTTGCATATCACTCAGTGGTCATGTAAGAAATGGATCTAGTATAAGTATTTGTTATAGTGAAATCTGTTAAGTTTAATTTGTAAAGACTCTTCATGTTTCCTCCATTCTAGGCAAATTCTCCTTGGCAAACAACAAACAGACTGCTTTTCCTCACGATTTCACTGTTGCCAAGCACCATTCTAGCCATACAGTATCCTAAATCTTTGCCCTGTGATGTGATTCCAACTCCTGATGGTTATGTGACCGCAGACTGTAGCAAACGACGCCTCACAAAATTCCCAGATGAATTTAAATTGATCTCTAGTACTGCCAATATTACCAACCTGACCCTCACCATGAATAAAATCTTGAAAATAGGTCCAAGTGACTTTCAGAGCCTTCAGCACCTTCTAGAAGTTGATTTTAGATGCAACTGTTTGCCGGTGATGTTGGGTCCCCAGGATCATTTATGTTTTAAGAGGCTACAGATCGAAGCCTACACTTTTTATAACCTTCGCAAACTGAACTCACTGTATCTGGATGGTAACCGGCTCTCAACTATCCCTCGGGGCATACCTCCCAATTTACGTCTTCTGAGTCTTGAAGTAAACAACATTTTTTACCTCCAGAAAGAAAACCTTTCCGAACTTGGGAGTTTAGAAATTCTCTATTTGGGAAAGAATTGCTATTACCGTAATCCCTGCAATGAATCTTTTCACATTGAGGAAACAGCCTTTCAGGCCCTGGGGGCTTTAAGAGTGTTGTCCTTGAAGGCTAACAACATATCTGAGGTTCCAAAGAATCTGCCATCTACTTTGAAGGAACTGTACCTTTATAACAATGTAATTCAGAACATTGGGGAGCAGGACTTGAGCGGTCTTCACAATTTGGAAAAGCTTGACTTAAGTGGCAACTGCCCTCGTTGTCTCAATACTCCGTATCATTGTACTCCCTGTCGGGATAATGCAAGTATTTCAATCCACCCCAGAGCCTTTGATTCTTTAAAGGAATTAAAAGTTTTGCGGTTACACAGCACCTCCCTCACCACAGTGAACAGTGAATGGTTTAGGTACACAGAAAGACTAGAAGCACTTGATCTTTCGCAAAATTACTTACATAACGAAATTGAGACTTGCCATTTCCTAAACTTTCTTCCTAATCTTGTAAACTTGGATTTTTCTTTTAATTTTGAATTGAGATCATACCGTACACGGCTGACTCTTCCAAAGACATTCGCCAACCTCTCTAATCTTCAGACTTTAAGGATCAGGGGTTTTGTTTTCAAGGAACTAGATCAAGCCAGTATAGACAGTTTGATTCATCTTAAAAATCTGAGTGTGCTAGACTTTGGGACAAATTTTATCAGGACCATTGACACAGCCATGTTTAAAAAGCTCCCGGCTCTTAAAACTGTAAGCCTTGCGTTCAATAAAATCTCTCTCCTTTCTAATGATTCAAATGGTAAGCTTTGCTCTGCTGCTCAGCCTTCAGTGGATGGGTTTCTTGGCACTGTGCCATCAGATATGCAGTATTTTTTATATGATGAATATAGTCGGAGTTGTAAATTTAAAGATATAGAAGCTGCTGCTTCTTTTCCTCTTGACACCGGACCTTTGTGCGGTAAGTATGGAACGACATTGGATTTAAGCAGAAACAATATATTTTTTATAAACCCTTTGGATTTCCAACACCTCAATTATGTGAAGTGCCTTAACCTGTCTGGTAATGCTATGAGCCAGACTTTGGATGGAAGTGAATTCGTGCATCTGTCAAGCTTGAAATACCTGGATTTTTCTAACAACCGGATTGATTTGCTATTTCAAACAGCATTCAAAGAGCTGACAGAACTGGAGGTTCTGAACCTTAGTGACAACAGCCATTACTTCAAAGCAGAAGGCATCTCTCACAGTTTGGGTTTTACCAAATATTTGGTGAATTTGACCACTCTGTTCATGAATGGGAATGAGATTTTTACATCCACAGACAAAGGAATGGCTAGTGATTCACTTAAAACACTGGAATTTCGAAAGAATCGCTTGGATATTTTATGGAAAGAGGGGACCTCTGAATACTATTCATTTTTCAAGAACCTCACCAACCTGGAGACTCTAGATATTTCTGAAAACTATCTGCATTCTTTACCTCGAGGTGTGTTTTGTGAGCTGCCTGTAGGACTCAAGGTACTGAGACTGGCCAGTAACAGCATGCAGCTTTTTCTCTGGGGGGAACTTCAGGTCTTGAAGAAACTGGAAGTTTTGGACCTTGGTAACAACCAGTTGACTACTGTCCCCAGAGAGCTGTCTAACTGCTCTCAGACCCTTCAAAAGCTAATCCTGCAAAATAACAGGATAAAAAAATTGACAGACAATTTCCTCCGAGGGGCATTCTCTCTGGCATACTTGGACCTCAGTTTTAACAAGATTAAAACGCTCAAAAATTCTAGCTTTCCAAAAAATGTTATTGACAATATGTCAACATTGGTTTTACAGGGTAATTCTTTCAAATGTAATTGTGATCTCGTGTGGTTTGTCTGGTGGATCAACCAGACAAATGTAACAATTCCTTTCCTGGCCACGGATGTGACTTGTGGGGGTCCAGGCACATGGAAAGACAAAAGTGTTGTTTTCTTAGATCTAGAGACCTGCGAGCTGGATTCATCCCAGATTCTGTTCTTAATATCTGTCTCAGTCATCATGTTGCTGATGACTATCCCCATTATAAGCCACCTCTATTTCTGGGATGTGTGGTATATTTACCATTTTTGCTTTGCCCGTTTAAAAGGATACAAACGATTATTTTCATCAGGTGTTGTGTATGATGCTTTTGTCACTTATGATAAGAGAGATACAGCTGTGACAGAATGGGTCATGAAAGAGTTAGTTGAAAAACTGGAAGGGCAGAGAGAGAAACAGTTCAATTTATGTTTGGAAGAAAGAGACTGGCTACCGGGAGAGCCAGTCCTGGCTAATCTTTCTGAGAGTATACAAATCAGCAGGAAAACGATATTTATCCTAACGAACAAGTACATTGAAAGTGGCAACTTCAGGATGGCCTTTTACATGGCACACCAGCGCCTCATGGATGAAAAGGTTGACGTTATCATCCTGATATTCCTTGAGAAAGTTTTGCAAATGTCCAAGTGCCTCCGCCTACGGAAGATCATGTGTAGCCGGTCTGTCCTCGAATGGCCAGCCAATCCTCACTCTCAGCGTTATTTCTGGCATTGCTTGAGAAATTCACTAGAGGCAAACCATGATTTCGACTACAGCAAGCTTTTTAAGGAAATGGTATAACTTGACCTGGTGCCGGAACATGCTTTGAAAGCTAAGCCAGGAAAGAAGATGAGTCAGGATTTCACCCTTCATGATGAAAAGACCTTCCTTCATGGGGGGGTTGGAGAGGGGAAGTGAACTACCACAGAAGCAATGAAAGCTGTCCGCTTCTTTTGGATGAGACACCCGTACACCCTACTTTACAGAAGTCTGTTTTCTGAGGTGCTTTCTGAAGACAATCCTTTGTTCAAAGGGCTATGAACTCTTAGCTTAACAATAAAGAACCCTACAAAGGAAAAGCAGGGGCCTTAGTGTCTGGCTGGTCCTGGCCTTACCCACCATTGTGAGAGATAGTGTATTTCCATTTCAATTGTTTTCAGGATTTCTAGAGCATGAAAATGTTACTTTATTGACCTGCTAATGAAATCCTAAAATCTCCCACCCAGCATAGCTTGTTTTCTAAGTGCCCAGGGGAATTGCAAGAATGAGGGTGATTCCATTGACAGAAGCAGTGAGCCTGGACTCTCGCCACTGGTTCAAATTTCACCTATGACCTCTGTCCGTGGCATCAGCCATTAACAAATGAATACGTAGCTCTAGCTTCCGTCCCATCCCTTCATAAATTAATTCTGGCTGACAGGGCCAGTCTGCTTTTCAGAATTGCTGAGACCATTCATGTGAAGTGATTCTAAATACTATTATTTATTTTTTCCATTGCATTCATCAAAATGAATTATCAAAACAAACAGACAAACAAAACCACACTGAAATAAAGCTCAGGTTTATCTGTCATTCATGTATAACATTTAGAGCTAGGAGAAGCTACACCAGAAATTAGAAGATCTAAATTCAGAACTTAATAATTATGGTTGTTGTGTTTTTTGTTTGTTTGTTTGTTTCATGGAGGAGCTCTCTGGTACAAAAGCTGCTATTGCTTCCCCAACTGAGATAAAATTCTGGCCCAAGAATGGGTTCTAGGAATAGGTGGCTGCTGTAGAATAAGAATCTATTTTTTAATCATGTTAACAAGCATTTTAGTCAACTGTTCTGTGAGTATCGCTGTCATGTTATTTTTAAAATAAACTTTATATCAGCCCTGCATCCATTTTTTCCTGATGGTAAAAGAATAAACCTGTCTATTTCCAATCAATGATGGGTGTCTGGCTTAAGAAATTATCAGGACTGATAATTCAGTGTTGAAATAAGTCCATTATGGAGAACAAATGCTCTGTTTTGATTAGCCCTCAGTTACCTCTGCTACCTTACAGTGCCACCTCCCTTAACCTCATGATGGGACTAGTCTCATGTTGTAGAGAACTCATCTTGACGTTATACCCTAACATAGTCATTTCTAAGGTACAGTGGTGCCCTGCATAGCAACGATAATCCATGCAGCAAAAATTGTCACTATACGGATTCATCGCTATGCGAAATAAAAAAGCCCATAGGAATGCATTGAAACCCATTTAATGCGTTCCTATGGGCAAAAAACTCACCTTTAAGCGAAAATCCTCCATACGGCCGCCATTTTCGCTGCCCGGTAAGCGAGGAATCTGGGCAAAAACACAGCAGGCGGCCATTTTATTTACCCAGTGGCCATTTTGGAAGTGCCGATCAGCTGTTGGAAAATCATCGCTATGCAAAAATTGGTAAGCAAAACAGTTTACCGATCACTGCAAAGTGATATTTTCCCATTAAAAACATCGCAATGCGATTGCTTTTGCGATCGCAAAAAATCATCGCTATGCGGATTCGTCATTAAACGGGGTGCCCGTTAAGCGAGGCAACACTGTATTTAAAAGTGAGCTCCTTGACTTCATCTGGAAGTGTGCCTGTTTGAAAATCCTGGATTTTAGTTAGATTTTAATTCCAGTTCATCTTCACACAGCAGTTATCTGAATTGTCATACAACTTTTGCTAGAGTGCTGCTTGAAAAGACCTTTAAACTGGCCTTTTCATATTCTGCATCACACACAGTTTTCCATGCATGTTAAACTCTGTTCATGGGGTTTTCTTGGCAAAGATACTGGAGTGGCTTGCCAGTTCCTGCTCCAGGTGGATCACGTTTAGTCAGAACTCTCCACTATGACCTGTCTGGTTTGGGAGTCCCTGCACGGCATAGCCCATAGCTTCTCTGAATTACTCAAGCCCCTTCACCACGACAAGGCAGCAATCCGTGAAGGGGTAATAGCAATTATAGCTATTATGTAGCTATAATTGCTATATATAACTATAGCAATTATCAAACAAAAGCAAACTGATTTGCAACTTACAGAACTGTGAAACCTCATGGTAAGAAAAACAAAGATGCTTTAACTCTTAATGGAGCTTGCTTCTAACTATGAAGCTTCTGTCTCAGCTGTTCTGGTCCTAAGACGGGATGATTTGACTTTGTTTACTTTTGTTCTTCAAATTGGGCTTTCTCTGCTCTAAAATAACCATGCCGCCATATTTGTCATCAGGATGTTTCTGTGGGTTTTGTTCCCTAAGGTAAAGGGAAATGTTCCCCTTGACATTTAGTCCAGTCGTGTCTGACTTTAAGGGGCAGTGCTCATCCCCATCTCCAAGCTGTAGAGCTAGCATTTGTCCGTAGACAGTTTCCGTGGTCACGTAGCCAGCGTGACTAGACATGGAACGCTGTTACCTTCCCACCGTGGTGTTGCCTAATATCTACTCGCATTTTTATGTGCTTTCGGACTGCCAGGTTGGCAGGAGCTGGGACAAGCGATGGGGGCTCACTCGATCGTGTGGATTCGATCTTACAGCTGCTGGTCTTCTGACCTTGCAGCACAGAGGCTTCTGCAGTTTAACCTGCAGTGCCACCATGGCCCTATTTAGGTGTCTCTAAATCCAGTAACAGTGATGTTGTAACAAAACATCCAATTTCCATTGTTATTATAGCGGCCAGTTTTAAGGAAGTTGGTCAGTGCATTTTAGTTACCATCTGTGTTTGTGGTTGTTTTGACAACCACATTTTCTGCTCTGTGAAGATTCCTGTGGTCCTGGTGTGACACCAGCTTGTTAATGCAGGCATACAAGTTGTAATCAAAATTATTCAGGCCCCATTGCAAATCATGTTTATTGTAAACATTTACAGACTTCCATCTGTTTGCAATGAACAAATAAAACAAAAGCAGTTGAAATAGCTCAACACAATGGATTCTTCAAGTGGTTTCCCCAAATTCAACTGAAAATGCAACTTTAAATGGATTCTGCAGTCTCAAAATTATTCAGCCCCTTCGTGTCAAGCATCTTTAGTACTTAGTAAAGCACCCTTTTGCTGTTATGACCTGCTGCAAACAAGATGCATGACCAGAAACCAGCTTCTGGCAGTGTTTCAGAGGAATCTTAGCCCATTCCTCATGGCCAATGGTCTCCAATTCAGTAATAGCCTTGGGTTTGCATGCTGCAACTGGCTTCTTCAAATTGCACCAGAAATTTTCTATAGGGTTCAAGTCAGGTGACTGTGATGACCCCTGTAGAATCTTCCAGGAATTCTTCTGAAGCTAAGCCTTGGTGGAATTTGAAGAATGCTTGGGATCACTATCCTGTTGGGAGGTCCAATGACACTCAAGCTTCGGCTTCTTCACAGATGGCATCACATTTTCTCCTAGGATTTCCTGATACTTCAATGAATTCATCTTGTGTTCCACACACCGCAGGTTTCCAGTGCCAGAGGATGCAGAGCAGCCCCAGAGCCTTGTCAAGCCACCACCATGTTTCACTGTAGGCAGAGTGTTCTTTTCAGCATGCTTCGTTCTTCTTCCTCCAGACATACCGCTGATCTATTGGGCCAAAAAGTTCCAATTTTGTTTCATAGCTCTACAAAACAGAATCCCAAAATGTCTGTGGCTTATTTACTGNTCCTGAAGCTTCGCTGAACGGTGAGTATTTGGCCTATTTGGAACGCATTAAACGATGTTTAATGCGTTCCAATGGAAATCGCTGCCCCATTCAGCGATGCTTCAGCATAGCGAAGGTTAATCCGGAACGGATTAACCTCGCTATGCGAGGCACCACTGTATATGATTTTGAGCATATTGGAGCTGACATTTCTTGTGCTTTTGGGTCAGTGGTGGTGTACATCTTGGAGTTCTGGCATGGAAACCCTCCTGCATTTAGCACGCCCCATACTGTGCAAACTGAAACCTCAGTACCTATTGCCACCAAGTCTTTCTGAAGGGCTTTTGCAGTAACTTGAGGATTTTTCTCAACTTGCCTTCTCAGAAATCTTGTTGCAGCTGTTGATAGCTTCCTTTTTCTGCCCCATCCAGGCAGTGTAACCATTGCATCTGGGAACCTGTGCACTTTCTGTAGGAAGGTGCTTGTAGACAGAAGTGACAAACAGGCAGCCATGTCTCCTTAGTCCACAGCTGATTGCCCACTGCTAAAATAGAGCTGTGGGTCTTGAGGACCTTCAGTGAGACAGCTGCCTGCAAGGACACTGGAGGATACTGACCCATTGTCCTCGCTGAAGTAAGATTCAACTGTTAATTCACTATGCTTCTGAATGCAGAAGTGGTGGTGATGGTGGAATTACAGTCTTTGGGTTTGTTTATTTGTTTGACTACAATGCCCAGAATCCAAGGACTTTAAGAATTGGTAGATAATACAAACAGCTGACTAGCACATTGCTAACATCATAAGCTGCATGTTGAAAATGGAATGGAGGATCTTTAAAACCTAAGTTTTCTTTACTGATTTGTTTTGTCTGTGAGATCTTAGGTGGAATCCTCTGAGGGCGTAGATATCTTTCTCAAAGGGTGCCTACCCACAGCTTCGTCATCTTCAGAGGATGGATATGAAACCTGGCCCATAGGATGAAGGCCAGATGGAATGGTAAAACATCCTTCTTGTTAGGGTCTGTATTTAAGGTGCAAAACCTCTCTGTTTTTGCTTTAATACCATATTGCTACATCCACTTAACCTAGAAATTCTAGAAATGTGTAATTTGAACTCACATGAGATTGTCATGACACTGTAAATCCAGTTTTTAATATTGGTCAGTTATTTGAACATAAAACTTTAAATTTGGGAAATTCCAGATATTTTTACACTCTGTTAATATTTTCAGCTGTTTGGTGCAACAATAAAAAGAATAATGGGAAGCATAATTGAACTTTTAAATTGAATTCAGTAAGATGGCCACTATCTCACACCCCCAGCTCCCCTGTTTGTTTTCCCTAGCACCCAGGTTTGCCTTTGGGCACAACTTTTCTTTTTTTGTACGCTGCCACCAGAGGATATTCTCCTCACTGTACCAATGAAGAATACTGAATCAATGCTGTCAGCTATAACAATATTTATTTAAGGGTTTGAAGGTGAAACATTGTCACGTTCCCGGGGGTTACAACAGCCGAAGTCCAATAAATCAGTCCAGGGTCAAGAATACTAAGAATGCAAAGCCAATGTCCATAAATCAACTCTCAGAAGGAAGTCCAGTGTCAAAGTCCAGAGTCCAATACACAGCGTAGTCCAGAGTCAGAGTCCGAAGTCCAATACCGGCGTAGTTCAAGGGCAGAGTCCAGAGTTCAGGGTCAGGAACACAATACAAGAAACGTGGATGCAAGCCAAGGTTTTGACTCCTTGCTTCCACAGAATTTCTGGCTTCACTGAGAGCTGTTTTATAGTAAAACAGCTCCTTGAGCTGCTGGAAAGCTTTCTATCCTGTTAATACTCAGGACTAGATGCACGTAGATTTCTGTGGACAGCCTTTGAGCGATCCTCTGATCTTCTGGTCCTAAGTCTTTCCCGAAGCCTGCCCTGAAGCCTGTCTGCTGTGGAAGGAGAATCTGGAGGCGGTTCAGGGGTTTCTGACCTCTCCACATTCTCTTCAGCCACAGTTAACCCTTCGGGTTCCAGGTCTTCAGAAGCACTCATGACAAACATAAAAGGAAAATCATGGACGTTCTTGTAGTATTTATTCATTAAACGTGTTTTGGATTTTAGATATGCTTACTTATGTAGGATTCACTTTAATCACAGTGTTACAACATTCAGTCTCTGCTAGAGGTGGCAGTTCTTCCTGACTCTCTGTTCTGTCAGTTACTGTGCCATTTTCAACTGCCTCAGCATTCTCTTTTTGCTGTTGGACACAGT